CCTCCTCCTCCTCCTCCTCCTCCTCCTCCTCCTCCTCCTCCTCCTCCAATTCATACTTCTCTAGGACCTTCCTTCTCACCCACTTCCACCTCAAACCTTGGGTTGGCTCTCTTCCCACCCCTGAAATAAGTGGCAGGAAAACCAGGAACGTACCTTCTGCGTGGGATGGAAAGCCCGAGTCTCCTTCACCTCCACCTGTGGACCAAGGGCCACTCCTAACATTGTGATGGGCAGGCAGGTCTCTCCTAGGGTGGAAAGGGAGCCAGGGGGCTCGCTCGGGCAAACCCATGACCCAGCTGTCATCGTCAGGTCCCTGGGCAGCCTGGCAATAATGATGGGGTTGGAGACCCTGCCCCTGTTCCACAGTACTTAGGGGTCTGCTGGCCTCACCCACATCTTGCGGGAAAGAAGGGGGACTGTCGGGGTGGGCTCTGGACCCCTGGGGAGCAAAGCTGGTGAGCCTGTCATCTTGGAAGGGAGAAACGTAAGGATCTGAATAGAATTGGACCCCTGGCTCTACACGATGTAGGGCTCTGCTATCTGGGACCGAAGAATAACTTGCATTGGGTTGAGGGCAATATTCTTGTCCGTTTAGGGGTGTAGCATCATAGGCAGCGTGAAATGGGTCGTGAGAACGACCGCCGTAGTAGCGTGAAAGGCACCATCCTCCTTCCAATGAAGAAGATATGGGCCAACTATCCCAGCCCATGTGATGTGGGGCGTGAGAATTAAAATATGGACCAGGTTGCAGACCATGCCCTTGTTCAGTAGAACCTACGGGCCACCAGTCGTAGCCCCCGTGTTCTGGGCCGGGAGGGTAATAACCTAGAAGGGATTGAGGGCCTTCAGAGGTACTTATGGGCCTCCTCTCCAAGCCAGTGGGGTCAGAGAATGCAGGCCAGGATGAGGGGTTGCGTTCCTGGTGAAGGTCATCCTCGGGTCCTCCAACCTGGACAGGCGAATAGTAACAGGGACCCAACCTTGCTCTTAGCCTCTTTTTGTGGGCATTACGACGGAGGTGAGAAGGTCTCCTGGAAGAGAAGTCCCTGGCTGAGCCGTTGGTCCACAGGGTGCGGATCAGCTGAGGAGCGGAAGGGTTCACGTTCCTCCGACTCTCTGCTTTTGGATACTTCCGAATGCCTGGAAAGGAAGAAGATGGGAGGAATGCGGAAAAGTTTCCTATTCCTATCCTGAAGGAAGGATAGAAGGAAAAGCGAAGTTAAAAAGATGTCATGCCCCTGTCGGAGTCTGAATCCGAGGAAGAAGACGAACAGCCGACAGGGAGCGGGAGTGTGGCTCTATTGGCTGTGGAGGAAACTGGGGAAGGGCAAAGTCCGGCTGGGCAGAGCAGGGGAGAGGTAGAACAAGGGAGAGCGAGTTCAGAGGAAGACCCAGGCCCACCTTCATCCTAGGGCACGCAAGGAGGAACGGAGAAAGGAGTAACGTGGGTTGCATGGCTTACGGGGGAAGCAAGGGTCCTGATTCCCTTCATTAGCCACAGCTGCAAATGAGAGTTTAAAGGAGATGCAAGCTGAGAGCGGCGTCTTCTGGGAACAAACGTGAGTTTATCTTGTGTCGACTGTGGTTATCTGTGTTCCTGACGTCTTCCCAACCGTGTGAATTTTGCCGTGCCTTCACATCTGGAATTCTTGCTCCTGCCCTGCCAAACTAATTACCTCTGTTTGGCTTGATTGGACTTATAGTTACAGTTTTTGTTGACCATGTTTTGGACTTGATTCCCTGCAGCCAAAGGCTGTTCCTGGGAGAGTTATTCTCCAGCCCAGAAGGCAACCAGGACATTGGGGTCAAAGTTGGAGCTAATAAAAGGAGTCTTATTGATTATCTGACTGTGTTGCCTTTGTGCCACGCCCCCTTGGGTCATCACAAAAGGTTTCCTCTGTCCAGTCGTGTTCACCTCTAGGGTGGACCTCTGCTCATCTCCATTTCTTACCCGGAGGGACCCAGCGTTGTCCGAAGACGCTGGTAGTCCTCGACTCACAACCATTCATTTAGGGACCCTTCCAAGTTACAAACTATGGGACACGGTGGCTCAGTGGCTAAGACTCTGAGCTTGTCGATCAGAAAGGTTGGCAGTTTGGCAGTTCGAATCCCTAGCGCCGCGTTACGGAGTGAGCTCCCGTTCCTTTGTCCCGGCTTCTGCCAACCTAGCAGTTCGAAAGCACATTTGAAAAAAAAAAATGCAAGTAGACAAATAGGGACCCCTTTGGTGGAAGGGAACGGTGTTCCGTGCGCCTTCGGCGTTCAGTCATGCTGACCACGTGACCACGGAGACGTCTTTGGACAGCGCTGGCTCTTCTTTGGCTTTGTAACAGAGATCAGCACCGCCCCCTAGAGCCGGAAATAACTAGCAGGGATGTACGAGGGGAACCTTTACCTTAACGGCACCGAAAAAAGCGTTTTTCACACTTAACGACTGCAGCAGCATCCCCGTGGGGGGGGGGGGGTCACGTGATTTATATCCAGATGATCGACAACTGACTCATATTTATGATGGGCGCCGTGTCCCAGAGTCAGGTGATCTGCTTCAGTGACAAGCAAAAGTCCAGGGGGAAACCAGATTCACTTAACAATCGTGTGACTGACAGCTGCCATGATTGATTTAATAAATGGGGCAAGAAATGTTGTAACATGGGACAAAAGCCACTCAACAAATTTCTCACTGAGCCACGTAAAATTTGGGGCTCCACAGTGGTCATAAGTTGAGGACTTCCTGTATACGCCAAAGCGCATGGAACGTTGTTCCCTCTGAAGTGGTACCTATTTATCTACTCGCATTTGCTGGTTTTTGAACTGCTAGGTGGGCAGGTGCTGAGCCAGGGAACGGGAGCTCACCCCGTCTTGTGAAGCTCAGGACTCGAACCCGGGCTGTCGGCTTTCCATCTGACAAGTCCAGTGTCTTTAACCACTGAGCCATCATGCCCCTTGTGCAGCAGAAGGATAGGCTGGTTTGAAACTCCTGTCATCCATTGGGGGAAGGAAGGAAAGAAGGATGGAAGAAAGGAAGGAAGGAAGGAAGGAAGGAAGGAAGGAAGGAAGGAAGGAAGGAAGGAAGGAAGGAAGGAAGGAAGGAAGGAAGGAAAAGAAGGAGGATAAATGGAAGGAAGGAAGAGAAGGATAAATGGAAGGGGGGACAAAGGAAGGAAGAAGGAAG